TTATATTTAACGTTTCATTTGAGTGACAGTCGCTAGTCAACCGTGAAGGTTACTTAATAGTTGAGATACTCCGACCTACAATTGTATCAAACTTTTTTGGCTTTGAACACAAAACCATACGCAGTAAAATAAATGGAACAGTTGTGCCATATGTTAAATATTCGAATCTGAAACGTTTTTTACTTAAAAAGACATCCTACAAGAAACGATTTTACTGAGTATATGGATAATGTTACTACGTACGCGAATGTATTTTTCAAATTCTTTTGATATGAATGAGCTCTTAACAATTACAGAAACGATGGTATGCTTTTAATTGTCTTACAGATAATCGTCTTAAATTTTAACACCAGAACTATTTCTCGTAGTGCAGTTTCTTTAAATAATATATGCCTCCAATCGATTTTTAAGTTCCATGCCGTTTATTTCGGGAAATCATATTTTTCGAGTCATTTTTATTGTATTTATTTATTTGAACACATAAATATTGGTACAAGAGGGCGCCAAGCATATATGCGCACACCATAGTTGTGTGTCGGCTGTGATACTGCCCAGGGGCCCTGACCGAAGCAGGTGGCTTTCTTAGGTGGCCACACCCCGTGCCTTTAACATAAAGATCTGATCCACAAAGCAGTGGAGCATCATGAGGAGATGCATTCTCATGGTGTCCGGTGATCAACGATTGGTTCATACGCCATTTGTTCCCTCAGGATACTGGAGCCCATGTGCACCATTGGTTTGAGATCCGGTTAAAGTTCTGGACATTCGCTTTTCGTCCTCTCATTATCGTAAACAACATCCCGGCAACGAGAAGGCAGTGAGTAGGACTTCCTTGGCAGTGGCTGTATACGCGTGGCCGTGTGAGAGGGAGGGCGCATCCCACTCTTGGCCATACCGGGGCATTTGGGGGCCATTTGTATTGTAAGAACTAATAGTCAGAATATTTAAGTTCCGATTATATAAGAAACCTTAAATAGGGGATTGTATTTTTAAATATTCCAGCAGTTAATGGTGACTAACTTCTACGTCCTAACAAGTGGACTGAGTCATGTTGGTATGTGTAGACTACCTGGTTGGGGACCGCGAGATGATAGCAACCGATGGTTAGAGACCCTGAATGACATGGCTCAAAATCGCTTGCAATGGCGCAGGTGCAACCACTCTTTGTGTTCTCCCAAATTCTAATATTCTGAATTCTTCATGTCCCTTTTTTCCTCTTTCCAAATTTATTTCACTGGATTATACTCTTTAAATAACATCTCTAAACCCTAATCTTCCCGATTACTGCTTATACTCTTATTACCTCTACCACTACGGGATGTGAATCGACAACTGCATCTCTGTGCTAATGTGGTGTGGCAACTCGATCTGATGTACGTACGTACGAAGTTCTACGTTGTTACTGATTGGATTGGATTGAACTTCGACGTCTTCCTCAGTAGTGTGGACCTGGCTTTTCGAAAGAAAAGTTTCAAAGACCAGGCTTCTGAACAAAACCTTGAGATTATAAAATTTTAATCACTGACGTTCATGTTTTGTCGTGTTTACTAACATTATTCAAGTTTCATAAAGAACTCCAGTCAATAAACTTTTACTCATTAGAGCTCGGACTTCTTAGAGGTGATCTTCTCAGTCAGTCAGTCAGCTACAACGTAGGACCAGGCACATATATGCATCGGTCCAAGTTGCCATACCTCATTAACACAAAATGGACACCGGATTCATAAAAGTAGATAATTCAGAGGTGGTAATATATAAAGGAAAGATTGCAATGAGGATACAGTACAGGAAGAAAGAATTAGTTCGTAGAAATAGAGGTATACAGCAATTTAGATCTCACTGTCTAAGGGAAGACAAAGAGTGTATACACCTACACCATTGTGATCCATTCTGAGCCATGTTATCCAGAGTCCCCAACCATTGGTTACGGTAGTCACGCGGCTCCAACCAAGTAGTCTGCATCTACCAACATGGCTCAGACTAGAAGTCAGAGACTTCAGGCACATGCCACGTTTTGGTTTGGCCGCCGCTAACTTTCTTCCAACCATCCCGAACACCCGTTATCATTACACGACGTGGTAATCGGTGTTCAGGCCTACGTAACACTATCCCGACCATCTCAGTCGATGAAGATTCACAACCTCCAGTCAATAAACTTTTACTCATTAGAGTACGGACGTCTTAGAGGTGATCTTCTAATTACCTATAGCATCCTAAACACTTCTGGGCATCTATTAAACACCTACTTAGTCCTAACATAAAACTTAAAGTCGTTGCCATTTGGTGGTATCACAAAGCTTGCTTTCATGTATTATGAATTTCAATGATTGTCTGTACTTATTATAATATTAAAAACCTACTGTGCCTCGAAATGCATGCATTCACCAGAATATTTTGGTATTATCCTAATTAGCTTTTAATGGTTAATTTCGTTGCACAAATGTTGTCCGCAAATATGTAATTTCTAATCAATCTTAAATTTAGGTGGACACTTTCAACAGTCGTGATTGGCGGGGAAATTTCACACAATAAATGGCTACAAGTTCAGTAGAGACAAGATCCCATCTTGGAAATATGTGACAACATGCAATAGTATGGTGAATGACTGACGATGCTGCAAAGACCACCCGAGATGGTGGTGAATGAATCTTGTTTCACGAAAGCCTTTCATTATGTGTTAACCGTAATAAAGAGTAAAGACATTGACTCTTTTGAGTGTTTTTTTCGTCATAATACGGTAATGTGAGATGTGGGGGTTAAGACGGATTCAGATTTGTTTAGTAAGAATAAAAGGCCTACGGCCTATATTATTCCTTTTCTAGTATGCTTCTGTGAGTGTCTAGTCTTCTCTTGAATTAGTCAGTTGAAGGTGCAGACACCGCTGCTTCGGGCAACAGGTTCCACGAATTGATGACCCAGTGTGAAGACATATGCCATGGGTATTTTGTTCGTTCTTGGTTTTTATATGCGCCTGCTATGTAATCTGGGATGTCCCGATCTAGTGGTTAGAAAAAGAGAATAAATTAGAACAACAATAATTTCCTAGTATTCTATACATCAAAATCAAACCATATCTATTTAGAGATCATTTGACCGGCGTCATCACCGCGCGTGAAGATTAAGTGCAAGAGGGACGAGGAGCTTCATGAGTCATATATGGTTGGATCCTTAATGTGCTGTAATACTAAGTCAAAGTGATATTTAAAGAGTGGTCTTGTTATTTTTGAATTCAGTTACCTTGCGATCATGAAATGCTTTGGCATTAGTTTGGTTCTATTTGTATTGGAGCGTAATTGGTCTCCTTGAAAGTATAACATTCGAGATGGACTTACTAAACACATTTGGTCAAAGCTCAGTCGGGACGCTCTTAAATTCGATGCTTGGTAGGGAACTGTAGGCGGCCTACAAACGGCCCCCGGTGGGTAGGACGTATGTCCCACTTGAAGCATGTCGATAAGTAAAGCCTTATAGGGAGGTTTTATTTTCAGTCACACCATCTAGTGCAGCTTCGCTTTCGTTTTTATGGTTGCGGAAAAAACTAGCGTCCATTCAATCCACGCTATTTACATTTGGTCTTCGATACTTACTAGAAACCCTATTAGTGATCATCCCAGCAGGTTGACGCTGTTTGCTGGAGATGGTGTACATCCATTCTGCGAGAAGCCCTAAGATATGGCTGACGACGGGTGCAGCTCTAACTTCATTAAGCTCATTTTTGCTTCTACAACAACGATGTCAACCCAGAGTAATACAGTGGGGTTTATTTGCGGCATAATTCTTGCTAATTCCTTGCTTTTATGATCGCGCACGTGCTTAGTTTCCATAATTCAATGTGGTGGTATTATTTATAAAGTGCGTGATATGCGGAAAGTCCACAATTCAGCATATATTTAGGTGACTATTAGGCTGGATTGGATTATTTCCCCTGGACAGGCGAAAAAGCAGTTATTTCGGCGCATTTCCCCTTTATTTTCCAACGCATTTCTCCCTTTGTTGATTGATTGGGCTTACCCAGTGTTGGAATATCAGACAAATTCTGGATAATTAACATAGGCCTAGAGATTTTTGATCCCTGGTAGCAACAAATGACGTCAAACTTCTCAAATGCCTGTTAAAAATCGAATGTGCGAGTAGATATAGTGTCGATCATTATGACGGAGTGCTGTAAAGATCGTTGAAATTGAAGTTTCACTCCATATAATTGTTGACAATCAGATTAACAACTGTTGCTTGCAAACCTAAGATGATTGAAATATTTATCCAATATGGTAAATCGTGTAAATTGGGGAACACGACTTTTTCCTAGTATAAAACTCGATTATCATAAATGCGTTTCAACGTAGTCATTCATTCAGTCAGCTACAACATAGGATCAGGCACATACATGCATCTGTCCAAGTTGCCACACCTTATAGCACAACAAGAAAGTCATGATTGCAGTTACTTCAATGGTAGTAACAAAAGATTTCATATGACGATATAATACAGAAAGAACTAGTTCGTAGAAATGGAGGTATAAAGCAATTTTAATCTCAGTCTAACGGAAGACGAGTGTATACACCTACACCATTGTGATCGATTCCCAGCCATGTTACCGAGTCTCCAACCACTGGTTATGGCAGTGGCGCAGTATATTAGTCCCTCTTACCCTTACCACAACTGGTGACTACTTCACTTCCTATCCTTAGTTCAGGTGTGTTCTAAAACATTTTGCATTCGAAGGGTCACTGTTGCTTAGTGCTAGCACGAACACATTTACCATAGAAACTCGTCGGGACACATACCGAGGACACCAATTTGTGCCAAATTAGACACAAGGGAAGGGGAACTGGGCAAACAGACAATCACCGACATGAGTGAATGCAAGGCTGACCCATACAAAGCGACTTACATCGTGCCTGTGGCTCGTGAATTTGCTAACGTATTGAGTTCGTAGCCGTACATCCTACAAGTTCGCGACATAGCTAGATCATTTCGTACTTAGCGATAAACCCAATGAATAACCCCTCTTGGTTTCCTAATTTATTGAATACCGGTAGACAGAACTCAAAATCATGTTGTGTGGCCCTAAAAAGGGCCGTTTGGCGTTCACAGAGCAATCATATCAAAGGTCGACTTATGCGCGTTCACCTCGAATTCGGCGAGCCAACTGGATGTCCTTTGGCATAATAGTTACACGTTTGGCATGGATGGCGCACAAGTTAGTGTCTTCGAAAAGTCCAACAAGGTAAGCTTCGCTAGCTTCTTGAAGAGCAGAAACTGCAGAGCTTTGGAAACGAAGGTCGGTCTTGAAGTCTTGAGCAATCTCGCGCACCAATCGCTGGAAAGGCAGTTTGCGTATCAATAGTTCGGTTGATTTTTGATAACGACGAATCTCACGTAAAGCAACTGTTCCAGGCCGATAACGATGAGGTTTCTTAACACCACCAGTCGCTGGTGCACTTTTTCGTGCCGCCTTGGTAGCCAACTGTTTTCGCGGAGCCTTACCACCCGTACTTTTGCGAGCTGTCTGTTTCGTACGTGCCATAACTGTGAACAACAATAGTGGTAATCACGCAGGCATTATATACCAGCATGGTCAAAATTCTGATTGGACGACCTCTTTTTTTTTATAAGGCCATGAACCAACTTAAACGAACGCCAATTGGTCGAAGAAATACATGAGATACCTGCCTCAAATACTGAATGAAACAAACTTTTTGCGTTAAAAATCATGATATTGTTGATTTTTAAGTTAATTAAGCGCTTCATACATTTAGAAATAAGGAAAAATTATTTTTTGTTTTAATGAACATAAACGCAATCTTGGTTGACAACAGTTTAAAACAAAACTCATCAAAACAATTGGAAATTTACGTTTCATGTCTTCTGAATGTGTCATATCGCATCGGGGGATTCACTGATGTTTTCTCTTTGCATAGAACTATAGCAATTTCTTTTCTAAAACCAGACTTCGTCTTTGGAAAGTTCATCAGCTTTCCCCTGTTATCTGTGTGCTCGAATATTTTCTGATATGCAATATTCAATTTCTGTGGTTTTTGTTAGTCACTTTGATAAAGAGCAGGCGGTTTTTGAGTACTGAGGTAACTTAATAGAATGATTTCACCAATGTATATGATTCAAAGGATTAATAGTAAGCAGTGAACCCTTTACAAGTCACATATGAACTACGAGGGCTTTGAACTACTGCATTGCTTCGAGGCTGACACATTCTGGACAAAGGTTTCTAGAAACTTCAAAAAACCCTGTAGATGTTTGTTGGTGAGTATCGTATATAGAGATGGCTCATCTTTCGTTGTGGAGCTATATGCAAGAAATTGAGAACTGAGCAAGTATACATGACCACGCTGGCGTGCCTCACGAAACATGGTGCTTGAAAATAAGTTTTTATAATCTTGAGTGTTGATATTCTTATGTTTGTTTGTAATTAATGAATTCTAGGTCTCGTACATATAGCTTCCTTTTTCATCTTGAGGAGAACAAGAACAAAGATTTTATCAGAATAACATGAACTCATTTCGTTTTAATAAATTTTAAAGATACGTCAGGACAGTGTGGCTGGGATGTAGATTAGTTTAATAGGCTGAATAACTATTGTAAATATTAAGCTTTTGTAAAAAAACACCCCACAACATTTAGTATACAAAGAGTCTAAAGGGTCAAAAACAAGCGATTACCTGATGAGTAAACGCTGATAAGGATAAGATGAGTAAGGCCCAGATAATAAAATAGGATTACTGATCTAGAAGACAGTCAAAATAAAGAAATGTGGTGATGTGATTGAGTAAGAGAAAGAGTTCAACATTTTTATTATGCAACTAAGGAATATTTGTCATCAAGGTGAGGAAAGATAATGTAGCGGTAAATAAATCCCTAAAATAAATAGCTCTGTAAGTTTTCGACATTGGATGCTGACCATATGTTTTAGTGGACTCATCTAGCTGAGGGCGCCCGGTCAGGCATCCGCACCAGATCACGTGTGGTAACGCCGTGCTCAACATCAACCGCAATCGCTAGCCAGATTAGATCAGAGAATTCCGATATATTGGTCATCGCCAAATATACTCTTCCGATCTCCTCGACTCTGTCTTTTGATTTCTCTGGGTGGGAACGAAATATATTAGAAGGTGTTACTGGTAGAAGCGTTGTCAAACACTGAATACCTGTGACATCATCATTGGTGAGACCGACGTGATCTGGTACACCTTATTGCAACTGTGAGTCTGTTCCTTTTTGGGATTTTTATATTACTTACTTACTTACTTACACCTGTTACTCCTCGTGAAGGAGCATAGGTCGCTCACCAGCATTCTCCATCCAACCCTGTCCTGGGCAATACTTTCCAGCTCCTTCCAGTTGTAATTCATCCTTTTCATATCTGCTTCTATTATCCGACGTAATGTCTTCTTTGGCCTTCCTCTTTTCCGCTTCCCTTCAGGATTCCAAGTTAGGGCTTGCCTCGTGATGCAGTTTGACGATTTGCGTAATGTATGTCCTATCCATTTCCATCGTCTTTTCCTAATTTCCTCTTCAGCTGGAAGTTGGTTTGTTCTCTCCCACAGAAGGCTATTGCTGATGGTATCCGGCCAATGGATGTTGAGTATCTTGCGTAGACAGCTATTTATAAATACTTGTACTTTCTTGATTGTGGTTGTTGTAGTTCTCCAAGTTTCAGCTCCATACAGTAGAATTGCCTTGACGTTCGTATTGAAGATTCTCACTTTGATATTGGTTGAAAGTTGTTTTGAGTTCCATATGTTCTTCAATTGTAGGAATGCGGCCCTTGCTTTGCCAATCCTCGCCTTTACGTCTGCATCTGAACCTCCATGTCTATCGACGATGCTTCCCAGATATGTGAAGGATTCTACATCTTCCAGAGTTTCGCCATCAAGAGTGATTGGATTGCTGTTCTCCGCTTTGAATTTGAGGACCTTCGTTTTCCCTTTGTGTATGCTGAGGCCTACTGATGCAGAGACTGCTGCTACACTGGCTGTCTTCATCTGCATCTGTTCGTGTGTACGTGATAGGAGGGCTAGGTCATCTGCGAAGTCCAGATCGTCTAATTGGTTCTGAGCTGTCCATTGTATTCCGTGTTTTCCTTCAGATGTCGAGGTCTTCATAATCCAGTCGACCACCAGAAGAAAGAGGAAGGGAGAGAGTAAACAGCCTTGTCTGACTCCGGTCCTTACTTGGAATGCATCTGTCAGCTGTCCTCCATGCACTACTTTGCACTGTAGTCCGTCGTATGAGTTCCGGATAATATTGACAATCTTCTCAGGAACTCCGTAGTGTCGAATAAGTTTCCATAATGTCCTCCTATCTACACTGTCGAATGCCTTTTCATAATCAATGAAGTTGATGTACAGTGACGAGTTCCACTCAACTGATTGTTCGACGATGATCCGTAGTGTTGCAATTTGGTCTGTGCACGACCGATCCTTTCGGAATCCAGCTTGTTGATCTCGAAGTTGGGCATCTACTGCATCCTTCATCCGGTTCAGCAACACTCTGTTGAAGACTTTCCCTGGTATTGACAGTAGTGTTATGCCTCTGTAGTTTTCAAATTTGCTCAGATCTCCTTTCTTTGGAATCTTGACGAGGTGTCCTTCTTTCCAGTCCATTGGCACTTGTTCCTCCTCCCAAATCTTTTTGAATAGAAGGTAAAGTATCTTTCTAGTTACTTCGACGTCTGATTTCAGCGCTTCAGCTGGTATGTTGTCGGGTCCTGCTGCTTTCCCGTTCTTGATTTGTCTGACGGCCATTCTAATTTCTTCCGTCGTTGGTGAGTTGACATCTATAGGAAGATCTGTGTGTGCTGCTTCGATGTTCGGTGGATTCATTGGAGCCGGCCTATTCAGGAGTTCCTCGAAGTATTCTACCCATCTGTTTCGCTGTTGTTGAATTTCAGTGATTGGCTTGCCTTCTTTGTCTTTGACCGGCCTCTCTGGTTTACTGTATTTCCCTGATAGTTTCTTCGTTGTATCGTAAAGCTGTTTCATATTTCCTTCTCTAGCAGCTTTTTCTGCCGTCGTTGCTAATTCTTCCACGTATTTCTTCCTGTCGGCTCTAATGCTCCTCTTTACTTGCTTGTTTGCTTCTATGTATTCAGCTTGTGCTTGGACTTTCTCTGCTCGTGTTCTGCTGTTGTTAATTGCTGTCTTCTTGTTCTTCCTTTCTTTGATCTTGTCCAGTGTTTCTATAGAGATCCATTCCTTATGATGGTGTTTCTTTAGGCCCAGAACCTCTTGACACGTTGAAGTCAATGTTTCTTTGATGCCTTTCCAGTTGTCCTCCATGGTAGTTTCTTCTTCCTTCAGTAGATCTTGAAAGGCTTGGAACCTGTTGTTGAGAGCTATCTTGAATTCATTGATTTTGTTAGTATCTCGAAGGAAGGCTGTATTGAACCTTTGTAGTGCTGTTTGTCCACTTGTCCAGTTCTTTTTTAGCTTCAGTTTTAAATTGGCTACAACTAGGTGGTGATCTGAAGCTACGTCAGCTCCTCTCCTGGTTCTCACATCTTCCATTGTCCTTCGGAATTTTTTGTTGATGCAAATATGGTCTATCTGGTTCTCTGTAGTGTGGTCCGGTGAGATCCATGTAGCCTTGTGTATACGTTTGTGTGGAAATATTGTGCCTCCTATGACTAATTTGTTGAATGCACACAAATTTGCAAATCTTTCTCCATTTTCGTTCCTCTCTCCCAGTCCATGTCGTCCCATAATATCTTCATATCCAGTGTTGTCTGTTCCGACCTTGGCATTTAGATCTCCCATCAGAATGGTGAGGTCCTTTCTTGAGCATTTCTCTATGATTGACTGCAGCCGCTCGTAGAATTGATCTTTAATGTCGTCGTTGCTATCATTGGTGGGTGCATAACATTGGATAATATTCATTAAGATCCCCTCCTTCTTTGTTTTGAATGATGCTTTGATGATTCTGGATCCGTGGGATTCCCATCCTACAAGTGCATTTCGTGCTACTTTGGACAGCATTAGAGCAACTCCCTGAGTGTGTGGAGCATTTTCCTCTTCGTGACCGGAGTATAGCAGCATCTCTCCCGTAGCTAGCCTTTTCTGTCCAGCTTGGGTCCAGTGGGTTTCGCTGATTCCCAGTACTGCCAAGTTGTATCTCCTCATTTCCGTTGCTATTTGGCTGGTCTTCCCGGTTTCCCACATTGTTCTAACGTTCCATGTTAGAAGGGGCATCGGCCTCGTGGCTTCCGAAGGAACTCGGCTTTCACCATGAAGCGTCATAATTCTTCTAAATGAAGACTTTCCAACTCTCAGGGCAGAGTTAAAATGGTTTGAATTTTTTTTCTGGTAAGCGTTTTTTTAGCGAGTTAGTTTTCTACGGGATGGGGACGCTAACCCCATGCCCAACCCTCCTCCTTTACCCGGGCTTGGGACCGGCAGTAACTCTAGAAGAGCTACAGGCGGAGTTGGATTTTTATATATCATTGCCTTATTTTTTATTTTTTTTTAAACATTGTGATTTTTTTTCGTGCTTTTTCTTGGATATATATATTTTCCCCTCGTTCATTATCATACTTAATATTTCATCATGACTGAACAGACACCTAAAGTACTCAAGCTTAAGACTTTGTCCCCACCTTCGTTTCAACTGATGCCTGTCTGGCCCGACAACATCGAAGCCT